CCCCGGTCGGTTCCGCCCCTGTCCGACTTGGCAGCGGTACTGCCCCCCCTCCCCTTTCCCCCTCACATGCCACCACGAGCGCCGCCGCTCCTGCGGGGCCTCCCCCTGCCCGGGCAAAACCGACACGAATGCGTTGCGGACGTGACGGGACGTGACGGGGACGCGACGGGACGCAACGTGACGTGACGGGCGTGTCACGGCGCCGTCACGGCGCGGCGCGACCACTGCAGCCGACCCCTATGACCACGGGCGCGCGGGGGCGGCCGTCCCCCTCTCCCCCTGCACTCCCTCCTGCGAGGCGGGGGCGGCCACCACCATCCGTCTCTGTCCCCCGGCCCCTCTCTCTCCCATGCCATTGTCCTCGATAATATTTTTCAATCATCTTCGCCCGCCGCGCGACGCCAGCACGCCGCCGCCGCCGCGCCTCTGGCAGCGTTTTCAACGCCCTGCCCATTTCCGAAGCGCCGCCACGGCCGAGCAGCCACGCCAGAACAGAACGGCATTGCAAAACAATGGTCGTGGTTGTGGTTGAGGCGGGCGGGCGGGCGAGTGCGCTGGAGCAGCGGGGTTGGTTACCAATCGCTCTCGCACACAGACACGCTCAAACACATACTACAGGGGGGGGAAGGGAGAGAGGAGAGGGGTCCCGGTGAAATCCACTTTTTTCGGAATTTCTGACAGTGACTGTTCAGGATTAGGAGAGTCGGAGGAAAGAACGCTAAAAGAGGAAAAGGGCGGGGCGGTCGGAGAGTCGGGGCGAGACAGCCGTCGGGATGGTCTCGTCCGCGCTGGGGATTTCAAGTAGAATTATGTCAATTCCTTTCCCTACACCACCCCCGGAGGCACCGCCAGTCGGAGGAGAGAGGGGAGGGGGTCTAATCCGATGACCCCCGTGATCTCCAAAACCCCCCCGACAGCTCTCCATCTCCCGCTCTCTCCATCTCATCTATGTTGATCTGATCTGCGACTTTGGCTACTAAGGTACAATAACATCATGCGCTCCCCCCAAAACACCACCCCTGTACGTTACATGGTCAAATGGCGGGTTGTGCGAGTGGCGTCAACCGAAGCCAGCCTCCCTCAACCAACTAGCAGCACTCCTCAACCGGGCCGCGCCGGCGCAGCCGCAGGCGCCGTCAGCCCAGGCCAGCGATCCATCAACCGAAAATATCCGCCCGTCATTTCCCGATACTTCTTTTTACACGGCGTCATGCCTGATGTATCAAAGCCGCAGTCAGCCATACCCCGCCGCAGCCCACGGGCTTCTTTCTTCCACCTCTCTCTTTCTCTCTCTCTCTTTCTCTCTCTCTCTTTCTCTCTCTCTCTCTCCGCCATGCCCGGCTCTCCCGTCCGTGCCCGAATCGAATGCTGATCAATTCGACAGGATGGTCGGGATAGATGGTCTGGATAAAGGGGAGGAGGGCAAAGTAGGGGCGGAGGTGGAAAGGGGGGGACATGACCGCCGCCATGGTGCCGTGTCAGCGGAACATGAGCCGACCACCAAGGCCAGACATGTACCCGTCAACGCTCGCCCCGCCGCGGGTCACCGTCGTGGTGCTGGCGGCGATGGAGACCGTGATGATGATGATGACGATCAGACACAGAGGGGGAGGGGGGGGAGTCAGGGCAAGTTAAACTGTGCCCCACACCCCTTCCCTTTGGGGGG